TGGACGCAATGCCGTGGACCTGCGAGTGGCGGTGGAGAGCAACCTTGCGCCTTCACTGCTGAAGCGTCTGGAACTGACTCATGGCAAAATTGACACGGTTGTGTCTGGCATAAAGGCGATTGCGGAGGACAAGGATCCTCTTGCTCGTGTGCTTAGTGCTCGTATGTTGGATCAGAATCTCGTGCTCTGCAAGGAGACGGCGTCCATCGGTGTTCTTCTTGTCATTTTTGAGTCTCGACCGGACAGCATGCCACAGATTGCAGCGTTGGCTCTCTCGTCTGGCAACGGTTTGCTCCTGAAGGGTGGTCGAGAGGCCGAACACTCCAATGCAGCGATCCACTCCGTGATTGTGGAGGCCGTGACGAAGGCCTCGGAGGGGAAAGTTCCCTCTGGTGTCATCAGCCTTGTCACAAGTCGTGCCGACGTTTACGAACTGCTGAAACTGGAGGGATTTATCGATCTTGTGATTCCACGTGGCTCTAATGAGATGGTGCGAAACATTCAACGGTCAACGAGCATTCCGGTCCTCGGACACGCCGATGGCATCTGTCACGTGTATGTCCACCCTGACGCTGATATGAATATGGCGGCTAAAGTCATCATTGACGCCAAGCTGAATTACCCAGCTGCGTGCAATGCCGCGGAAACGGTGCTCTTTCATCGGGCCACAGTGGAGAACGGGGATGCGAAAATTCTTGTGGAGAAGATGAAGGAAGCTGGAATCAAGATATATGGCGGGCCCAAGGCGATTGCAGCGTCCCTTGCGCGTGCTGGAGCAGTGTCCATGCATACTGAATACGGTGATGAGCAAATAACGGTGGAGGTTGTGGAGGATATGGATGCCGCCGTGGATCACATCAATAAATATGGTTCCCACCATACAGAATGTATCCTCACCTCCAATGTTGATACAGCCAGTGACTTTGTAAGGCGTGTGGATTCTGCTTGTGTTTTTCACAACTGCTCAACACGTTTTGCGGATGGCTATCGCTTTGGGCTTGGTGCTGAAGTGGGCATCAGCACCGGCCGGATTCATGCGCGTGGGCCTGTGGGAGTGGAGGGGTTGTTGACACAAAAATGGGTGCTGCGACCGATAGACCCCGAATTGTACGCAACTGTTGCCGAGTTTCAAAGCGGCGAGCGCACCTTCACACATGAAGACATTACGAATGCCATGATATTGCAGGAGGAAAATTAAGAGGTAATGAATTAAATAGTAGAAAAAGGAAGGACAAAATAAAAGAAAAAATAACCCTTGCGTTGGAAGAGGGACAGGGTTTAAAGGGGAAAAGGAAGAGGGGATTGTTTGATGAAGGGGCGTCTGCACACGTTTACACTTTTGGGAAAAGTATCTACTTTGGATGTTTTTTTTTTGTTTTTTTCCGGTTTTGTTTGACCTAATTGGCGACATGCCTTTTTTTTTTTTTTTTTTTTTTTTTTGTGGGTGGGGATGACGGATATCTCAAATTGCAAATGAGACAAAGAAGGCGAGGTGCTAAGTTACGTGATCGTCAGAAATGCGGGGTTTACGCAGTGTGTTTGTGTGTGTTTGTATTTTATTTGAGCTTTATTATTTCAGCTTGCGTGGTACAAACAAATGCCTGTGAACGGAAAGAATAGGACGCGAAGGAGACATAGACAGACAGGCAGGGAACGAGGGAGTATTGGCGTTCCAAGCGCGCCGCAGGATTTTATGTACATTGAGTGCCTCTGTGGAGTCTCTCTCTCTTTCTCTCTTTCTTAATCCCCTTTTTTTCTTTTGTATGTGAATGAGTGGACTCCTTTTTTGATTAATTTTGCCCGTGTGTCTGTTTAATTGCGTAGATGGGCATGAGAATGAGGCGAAAAAAAAAGAGGATATATGTGCTGGCAGTGATGAGCGATGGTATTGCGACTTCTGCTGTCAGTCGATGTTTTTTTTTTTTTTTTTGCCTTGCTTATTAGGGCCTCTCTGTGGCTTCTCACCCCTCTTGTTTTCTCAGCGCGAACCGTATTTTTTCATTTTTTTTTTTTATTGCTTTTCTTTAGCCACAACTTTAAGGACTGTGCGCGTGTGTTCAGAGAAAAGGAAAAGGAAAAGAAAGGAACAACAAGTTTTTTTTTTTTCTCCCAATGAGCGTGTCGACAGTGCGGCGGGGCTTTTCATTTGACCCTGCGGCAGGGCTCACTGGCAAAGAGACATATCAGGATGCGGTGCGTATGGAGATTCAGGCCGCGACACTCGAGGCAGCTGGGAAGAACATGGAATGTCTTCAACTGCTGGAGAAGGCACTGCAAGTTCGATGCCAGGAGCGCCCCATGAGCGCCACGATGCCCATGTATATTGACGAGGTCTGCGATGCAGCGGAGCGTCTCATAACAAAGACGAACGCGTACGGCGTAAAGTGCTTTAAGGAAGACGATTACGAAACGGCCTCCGTATTGTTTGACTATGGAATGCAAATGACGGAGGCTGACTCCTTCCCGCTGCGGGAATCGGATGATCGGCGACGATATCTTCGGGGGGTGACGTTAAATAACTACGGTTGTATGGAGCGACGTCGTGGACACTTTTCAGAGGCTCTTTCATTCATGCAGCGTTCGATGAAGTGCACGGGTGAGCAGTCGCCTGTGGCATTTCTTAACATAAGTGCCGTCCAGACCCAGTTGCGACTGTGCGAGGAAGCCGTGGAGAGTGCAATGCGGGCGATGCAGAATCTTGGATCCGCCCCCGAGGAATCCGCTCTGCTCGCCGCGGCGCACCACAACCTTGCCGTGGCTCTTGAACCACTT